TTAAGGCTGTGCAGCAGGACCTTTCCAGAAGTTAGCGGTGGTGGAAATTAAGGTTGATTTAATTCTTGCTGTGTTGTTTTTTTCCCAGGTAAAACGGGGGAAGGCGGTGAGCTCCAGGTCTGGATCAAAGAAGCCAAGAACCTCACGGCTGCCAAATCCGGGGGGACTTCAGACAGCTTTGTCAAGGGGTGAGTGTGGGTCCTGGGTTGGAGGGCAACGAAGGCACTGTCCTCCCTGGCTGCATCCCAGAGCTGCCAGGGGAGGGACAGGTCTCTCCGCTAGCTGCCCCACGCTGCCTGCATTGGTACCCGGGAAGTCACTGTCTGCCCGTCTCTGCCTGGAGATGAGATGCTCCTGGTAGCAAATGCTCTCCCGGGTTTTGGCTGCAGTTTGTCACAGTGGCAGGCTGCATGCAGGGCAGGGCTCCAGCTGCCATCAAATTGTCTTCCCAGAGGTCACCAAGCCACTGGGCAGCGTGGCTGGGGGCGAGCAGGCTGCGGTCCTTGCCCTCTTCCCTCCTCAGACCACCTGCAGTCTGCTGAGCGGCTTTTCAGGAGTCGGGGCAGATACCCAGCCCCTTGCAGACCATCATGGCTCTTCCTGGGCCATGTCAGGGAAGGTGGGCTCCAGACCAGGTCCTGGGGTGCTGAGGTGCCCCAGCCCAGGGGCAGAAGGCAGTTGCACACATGCTGCTAACACAAGGGGCTGCTTCCCCCAGCTACCTCCTGCCACACAAAAACAAAGCCTCCAAGAGGAAGACGCCCGTGGTGAAGAAGACCCTGAACCCTCATTACAACCACACCTTTGTCTACAACGGCATCAACCCCGAGGACCTGCAGCACATCTGCCTGGAGCTGACAGTCTGGGACCGGGAGCCACTGTCCAGCAACGACTTCCTTGGGGGTGTCCGTCTGGGGGTGGGCAATGGTGAGGAGCCCTGGGGTTCCCGTCAAACCCTGGGGACAAGCAGCCTTGCTTGGGGCTGCCTCGCTGCAGGCAGGATGCTGCTCCGGCAGTGACTTCTGCCCATGTCCATCCTTTCTCCCAGGCATGAGCAACGGGCAGGCTGTGGACTGGATGGACTCCACCGGCGAGGAGCTGAACCTGTGGCAGAAGATGCGCCAGTACCCAGGCTCGTGGGCGGAGGGGACGCTCCAGCTCCGCTCCACCATGGCCAAGCTGAGGCCATAGGCTGTGGCCAAGGGCTGGCACTGCTGCTCGACAGCTGTACTCGCAGCACGGCCCAACAGGGCTGCCAAATGTGGGTCGGGTTGGGGTTTTTTTCTTGCTTATACTTTTATTAAACATGACCTTCTCTAAATAAGCTTGGGCAGAAAGTCTTCTTGGCCTCGCTTCATTTAAGGGGTTTTCCTTTTGTCTTAGGCTTTGCACCAAATTTCAGGCTGAACTAGAGTCCTTGGGGACCCTCCCTTTTTACCCCCCAGGCAAAATGCTTTGAAATGGGGTTGGGTTTTTTCTTCTTTCCATTCTTCTTCCTCCCACCCGCTCTGTTTCAGTCTGCTCCCTCCTTGTCTCCCCCACCCTCCTCCCACAGGATGCTGCCGGCTCCCAGACATCCGTGTGCTGGGTCAGCTTGGGCGGGCTGGGGGTAGTGGCCCCCAGGAAGGATTCGTTTACCAGGCCTCCCTGTGAGACACCTTCTGCCAGCACTGACTTTTATACAAATTTATTTATTTTGAGTTAATATTCTACTGCCAAAACAGTTCCCAGGAAGGGTTGCCCCATGGCTGGTGGAAGGGGAAGCGAGGGGTAGGGTGGGGATGGCAAGCCCTTGGGGTGGGCTCCGCGCTGGCTGGCCGCTATTGGCTTTGCTGAGCGTGGGGCTGTTTGCTTTTACTGAAGGCTTGCTGGCAGGGCCCTGGCAGCAGCGCCGGCCCGGCAGGGCTGACCCCAGGTGACAAGGGAGAGGGTTCAGGTTGTGCATGGGGTGAGGATGGCCGCGGGGAGGGTGAAGCTGCTGCATTAGAGGCTGTCGCCCTGCCTGCGCTGCCTTCCCTGTCTGCTCTGCTCTGCTCTGGCAGTCCAGTGTCTGGCTCCCTGTCTCCCCCCTGCCCTGGGATTTGAGCAGAGGCACTCCGGTGTCTCCCGCCGTGGTCCTGGCTGGACTGAGCGATCCTGCCCCGCAGCCGGAGGCTGCTCCTGGCTGCTGGACAGTGGGGACGCTACCGGGACATGGCCCCCATCCCTGTCCCTACTCGCTTCTCTGTGCCAGAGCAGCCAGAGAGGAGCTCCCCTTCCCCTGGAGGTCCTTGGCACCCTGGTCCTCCTCTATGGTGGGCGACTAGAAAAGCAGAAAGGAAAGTGTCCGTCCCCTGAGGCCAGCAGTGGCAGAGGGGGGGTCTCCCCGGCGCTGCCTCACTCGCAGGGGTCCCCGCTCTGCGCCCGCCGCGCCGCCTCCCGCTCGCTCAGCAAGTAGGTGTCGATGAAGACGAAGAGCTCATCGGGGCTGATGGGGGAGATGTAGCGCTCGCGGTCGGCACCCGCCTTGTCCAGCAGCACCGCGTTGAAGTGGGAGCGGGTGAGGTGCAGGAACTGCCTGAGGGTGCAGGGGGGAGCTGCGGTCAGGGCTGTGGGGGCTGTGGGTTGGGGCTGAGCCTGTCCGCCCCACGCAGCCCAGCTCCGGTCCTCCTGGGGTGGTAGCTCCCATCTCTCCCTCGGGGCTGTGAGCTCTGGGAAGGTCTGGGGACGCTGTATTTGGACTTGCTGGGGCTGTCCCCACATTGCACAAGCCCCTCCAGTGCAGCAGCCTGTGAACCCAGCTGCGACCTCGTGCCTTGCTATCCCTGGAGGTGTCCCTGTCCCCACTCCCTTCCCACAGGCGCCAATAGTCTTCCTACCTGAGCTCCTCGATGATGCCGAGGGATAGCTGGTGCTCCCGGATGCGTCCCACCTCGTGTGGGGGCTGCCCCACCAGCTCGACGGTGGTGACATGACGCAGGTCCAGTCCGCAGGCAGCTTGCTGTGGAGAGGGGGGACAGTGAGAGGGTGCTGGAGGGGTATGGGAAGGGGGGCAGCGGGAGGGTTTCCTCACCTGCAGCATGGAGATCTGCATCTTGTAGTAGCGGTTAGAGGGATCGGGGGCTGAGATGACGAGGAGGCGGCGTTTCTCGTGGAACTGATCAAGCAGGCTGGCAGCCGAGTTCACAGCTGTGTTGATCTGCATGGCTGGGGCGAGAGGCAAGTGCATGGGGGCATGCCGTTCTGCACCCCACCATCCCATCCCCACCCCTTTGCCCTGCCGGGCAGCATCCCCCTGGGCATCGCTGTGGGCAAGTCCTCCCCTGCCCCGGGCCACTTACGTGCACAAAGGGGCTGGGAGCCCGTCCACTGCTGGGTGGACTGGCAGACCCGCAGGGAGGTGCCCTGGCGCTCGTAGCCCCCGTCGCACAGGTACTCGCAGGTAGCACCGTAGTTGTTGCCGTCGGAGGTGCAGGAGAGGTAGCCGTTCTGCGGAGGCTTCAGGACGGGGCAGCGCCTCACTGTGAAGAGGGAGGCTGGGTGAGGGCTGGGGGTGATGTGGCACAGCCCCGGCCGTGGGGCGCGGAGCCCGGAGCACGGGGGAGGCAGCCAGCAGCCCCAGGGGAGCCCACTTCACCTTGGACGCGGATGCTGAACTTGCAGCTGGCTCGGTTGTACGCCTGGTCATGGGCGGTGTAGCGGATCACATGCTCTCCTTCGGGGAATTCAGAACCGGGCTCTGGGCCCCGCAGCATCACCCTGCACCCAGCAGACAGGTTTCTTTGTCAGGGCCCGGGAGGGGGCACCCAGGGGGCCCCCAGCCCTCGCTGGCCGTGCCCGCAGCGCCTCTGCCCTCACCTCTTGATGATGCCGTCGGCGGAGTCCTTCACACGGGGAGGGTCCCAGTAGACGGTGGCGGTCAGCTTGCCTGGCTCGGCTATCCGCTCCCGGGAGTCCGGGCAGCGGATCTTGGGAGGCTCCATATCTGCCCACAGGGAGGAGAGGGAGTGGGGGAACCTGCGGGAGCTGGGCACCAGCCCCGGTGCTCAGTGACCCCAGGGATGCTGTGCACAGCCCGGGCACCCCGAAGCCAGCAAGATCTGCTGTAACGCCAGCAGAGTGCCCTGACCAACGCGCCCTGCAGCAGCCCGTGCTTTGGGGCTAATGGCACCTCGGGGGGCAGCAGGGACAGGAGTCCCAGGGCTGGGAGGTGCAGGAGCTGGCACCCAGCAATGCCTGGGACAGGTGTGGGGGTGATACCTGCAGGCACCCCAGGGATGAAGGCTGGCCTGCTCTTGTGTGCCCGCCCCAGCAGCGTGGGGCTGGGAGGACGGTAGGGTGAGAATTTACCTACACAGATTGGCTCGCTCCCGCTCCAGCGCCCGTCCTCCATGCAGATGCGGCTCCGGTCACCCTCCAGCTGGTAGCCGGGCAGGCAGGTGTAGTCGCAGCGGGAATCCATCTGCACGCCGGCCGAGCACACGTAGGAGCCCCGCAGCACCGCTGGCAGCACGTGGCACCGGATTTCTGGGACGGAGAGAGCAAAGAGGGGAGGGAAGTGGCTGCCTGGCCATGCTAGTGGGCAGAGCACCCAGGGCTGGCCGCCGCAGGTGCCCACAGGGATGCCGGCAAGCCTATGGCCAGGGCATACTCACGTCGGCAGTACGCCATCCCGGACCAGTGGCGACTGGGCAGGCACTGGACGGCGCTGGGGCCCACCAGCCGGTACCCGCGGGGGCAGCGCAGCGCGCAGCGGG